ACTTAAAAGGGACACTATAGTCACCAGAACAACGACAGCTTATTGAATTTGTTCTGGTGAGTAGAATCATTACCTTCAGGGTTTTTGGTGTAAACACTGTCTTTTCGGAGAAAATGCAGTGTTTACATTACAGCCTAGTGATAACTTCACTGGCCACTCCTAAGATGTCTGTTAGAGATTCTTCCTGGATCATGGCTGCATGCGGACACTGAACTTTCCTCATAGAGACTCATTGAGTCAATTATTCTCTATGAGGAGATGCTGATTGGCCAGGGCTGTGTTTGATTTGTGCTGGCTCTGCCTCTGATTTGCCTCCTTGTCAGTCTCAGCCAGTCCTATGGGCAAGCATTGTGATTGGATCAGGCTACCACTTCTGCTGATGTCAGCAGGCAGTGGGCAGGTCTAAAGGAAACAGGGACAAAGTAAGTGGCTGCAGACTTGAGTACAAGTAAGATTTTACTATATTTAGGGAGGCATGAGGGGACCAGGGTGGCTCGATGGTGGTTTTAACCGGATAGAGTCAGGGATACATGTTTGTGTTCCTGACCCTATAGTTCTCCTTTAAATAATCCCATTTCTCTTGGACTCCATTTAAACTGTTCCAGTCTGTTAATGACTCCTTTATGCAAATTCAAATTATAGAAAAGTCTGTTTGTCTAAAGTCTAAAACTTATGTTTTTGTGTGGTGTGACTCACTGTTCTTCTATTAAACCACAATGACTGATGATCACTAGACCCTAAACTTTCACCTACAGTAATATCTGATGCCAAATCTCTATTTGTTAACACTGAATCTAGTATGGCCTCCTTATAAGTTGGCTCCTCAATGACTTGTTTAAGAGATAGTCCCAGTAGAGAGTTTAGAATATGTGTGCTCCTGGCAAAAGCAGCTATTTTGGTTTTTCAATTCACACCCGGAAGAATAAAGTCCCCCATGATGACCACTACCCCCTTCATTGTAATTTTAGCTATTTCCTCAACTAGCTAAAAAAAAACTATAAAATTTATAAAGATTTGAGTTGATAATATGTAACATTGTAAAGTTACAGATAACTTGTGATTGTATGACTTTAGACTACAGCAGTTAAAGAAAACCACAATGACTGATGATCACTAGACCTTAAACTTTCACCTACAGTAATATCTGATGCCAAATCTCTATTTGTTAACACTAAATCTAGTATGGCCTCCTTATGAGTTGGCTCCTCAATGACCTGTTTAAGAGATAGTCCCAGTAGAGAGTTTAGAATATGTGTGCTCCTGGCAAAAGCAGCTATTTTGGTTTTTCAATTCACACCTGGAAGAATAAAGTCCCCCATGATGACCACTACCCCCTTCATTGTAATTTTAGCTATTTCCTCAACTAGCTAAAAAAAAACTATAAAATTTATAAAGATTTGAGTTGATAATATGTAACATTGTAAAGTTACAGATAACTTGTGATTGTATGACTTTAGACTACAGCAGTTAAAGAAAATTAATATAAATAAAGCTCCGGGGCCTGACGGTATTCACCCACAGGTACTTAAGGAGCTAAGTGGGGAAATAAGTGAACCTCTGTATTTAATTTTTCAAGATTCTTTTGTTTCACGTATTGTTCCGCTGGATTGGAGGAAGGCAGATATTGTTCCTATATTTAAAAAGGGTGCAAGTAGGGGGAAGGGGGTCTGACCCCCATACTGAGCGGTCGCACTTGGAGTGAGTTCCTGGCTAAACTATAGCAGCAAGCTATTAAATCAGCGTAATACCTGAGCAAACCTGAAAACCCCTGTAGGAGACACCCTGCAACACTGTCTGCGGCATATAACCGATCGAATGGTGGTCTTACTTCGGCGCATCACCGAAATCTATCCGTGGGGGCAGCTGAGGAGAAACGGCCGATCTCCCTGCTGATCGCTCTGCCGGGATAAGGAGAGGTGTTTGGGCTCCTCCCCACCCCCCCTGCCAGTGAGGGACATCCCGGCACATGCTCTACGGCTCATCAAACTCTTCAAACTGAAGAGCCTATGTGATCTTGCAGAAACCCTTGCAATCTGAGGCCTTCCAATCAACCATCCTAAAATGGTGGATGCGCCACGGGATGGCAGCCTAGAGACTTCCATGAGGCGCATGGATGAAATCTTCGCCAACTTTTGGCTCTGACAGGCACAAGCAATGAGAGGAGAGGGAAGGCTCACCCCCTAATACCTATCGACCTACGAAGCACGCAACCTCCACACCATGCATCTTACACCAATGCAAGTGACACAATCGACCCCTGGCACTTACCCAAGACCAAAAGCGACCAAGACTCAGTGCCACAATCCCGGGCAGAGAACCGCAAGGGGGAGGACAACTGTGGTCATAGAGCCCTAACCGACCTAAACTGAGAGGTATCCATTGAGGCAGTATAGATAGATACTTATGATAAGCCACTTCTTCTCTCCGTTGATTATCCTCTGTTAACTCAGGCATCTGGCCAGGCATAATGCGTCCACACTAATTTAATCATAATGTCTTGTGCTGATCCCTAGTAAAAACGCACTGTTGTGGCGTGTTAAACTCTTCCTGCTACCCTCTTCTGGGTATGCTTTGCTAACCAGTAAGCCTAGCATGTATTGCTTGCATGTATATGTACTTCACGCTTAATTACACAAAGTTTTGGCAGACCTATCATTTGAGGAACATCGGTTAACTGAGCCATACTACTTACTCCAGCCACCATAAAATGCTTACGTAATCTAGGCAACATAGCGGTAACGGCTTGTAACTAAATAGTCACTAACCATAACCTATACGCAATCTGATAGAATGTTCTTGTTATAAATCTGTTAAATATATAAAAATGTGCTCGTTATCCTACTACTTCTAATGTAATGCTTGACAAACTGCTTGAGGAATGCTGTTGGGGCACCAAGAGCTGGTATGTACTAATCACCATGCACACCAAAATAAAGAATTTAAAAAAAAAAAAGAATGCACAAGCAATTTACACACTAAATCAGGGCTGTCCAACCTGCGGCCCCCCAGATGTTGCAGAACTAAAACTCCCATGATTCTTTCAATTAAAAAGATAGCCAGGGAATCATTGAAGTTGTAGTTCAGCAACATCTGGAGGTAGTGAACTAGGGATAACCACACATGAGAAGGATTTGGGAATTGTTATTGACAACAAATTAGGCAGCAATGTGCAATGTCAATCTGCAGTTGCTAAGGCCAGTAAGGTTTTGTTATGTATAAATATGGGAATACATTCTCGGGATGAAAATAAAATTTTGCCTCTTTATAAATCGCTGGTAAGACCACACCTTTAATATGCTGTGCAATTTTGGGCACCTGTTCTAAAGAAAGATATCATGACACTAGAAAAAGTGCAGAGACGAGCTGCAAAATTGTTAAAGGAATGGAGCATTTTAGTTGCGAAGAAAGATTAAAAAATGTAAATCTGTTTAATTTGGAAAAACTGCGCCTGAGAGGGATATGATAACATTATACAAATATATTCGGGGCCAGTACAAACCATTATCTGGAAATCTATTCATAAACAGGGCTATACATAGGACACAAGGTCACACATTTAGGCTGGAAAAAATGAGATTTTATCTAAGGCAAAGAAAAGGGTTTTTTTTTACAGTAAGAGCAAGAAGGATATGGAATTCTCTGCCTGAAGAGGTAGTTTTATCAGAGTCCATACAGATGTTTAAACTGCAATTGGATAAATACTTGGAAAAACATAACATACAGGGATATAATTTCTAATTAGTGGGGTAATAGCTGCTTGATCCAAAGAGACATCTGACTGCTATTTTGGGGTCAAGAAGGAATTGTTTCTTAGTTGTTTGCAAAATTGTAAGCGCCTCAGACTGGGTTTTTTTGCCTTCTTTTGGATCAACAGCAAAAACATATGGGAAGAAGGCTGCACTTGATGGATGCAAGTCTCTTTTCAGCTATGTAACTATGTAACTATATAAATTAAGAAAACTGAAGGTAAGTGATTGCAGGTGCTGGCTTCTGGTAAGATTTTTATCTAATATTGATTTTAGGCCAGTTATTTGTTTGTTTTTAATTGGGGTAGCCCCCAAAATATTGGGACATATAAAAAAAGAAACATTTGCGGCCTGCGGTGCATTTCTTGCTGTCCAATAACGCCATCAGGTTTTTAAAACTGTCTGTCTCCACCAGACTGAATGACAGCATTTCAAAGGCCATGAATTTTGAAATGCTAGCATTCAGGGCCAGGGATCACGGGTGGGTAGTGGGGTTCTTCCTCTTTCTCTTCAGTGTTTGGGAGATGGACAGCTGAACACTTCCATGGGACAGTGTGGAGATGCTTGAGGACGGTGGCGGATGTGATGGCGTTGCTGCCACATCCTCTGTTTGCAGGGTGACAGGTGGCACTGGTGGAGGAAGAGGCCGAGACAGCAGCAGAAGAGGAAGCAGGAGGAGCCTGAGACCTTTCTTGGTTTTTGAGGTGCTTACTCCACTTCAGCTCCTGCTTTGCATGTAGATGCCTAGTCATGCAGGTTGTGCTCAGGTTTAGAACATTTATTGCCTTACTTCAGGCTCTGATTGCACAGCGTGCAAGCCACTAGTGTCTTGTGGAGTAGGAGGTGGAGGAGGCAGTGACCATGGCGGTGTAGGTGGGAGCGGCGGTGGAGGAGGTAGCCAACACTGTTTTTTATTTGTTTATTTTATTTATTTGTTTTAGTTTTTTTTTTTTATTGGGGCAACCCCCAAAATATTGTGACAGATAAAAAAAGAAAACAAAGAATAAGTGCACTTGAGTATAACAATGGCTGGGTGAGGCCGGTATAAATGTATATTCTGTACAAGGTACAGACAAGTCTGGTGGGATCCATGCCTGGTTCCTTTTTAATAAACGTGAGCTTGCCCACATTGGCTGTGGACAGGTGGCTGCGCTTGTCTGTGATAACGCCCCCTGCTGTGCTAAACACATGTTCAGACAATACACTGGCTACAGTGCCCAATTTGGAGACCCAGAAGTTGAATGGGGCAGACCCATCAGTCAGTACATGTAGGCATGTGCACAAATACTGTTCCACCATGTTGCTGAAATGCTGTCCTTGTAACGGGGATCCAGCAGGGTGCCCACCCAGTAATCAGCACAAGTTAGAATGTGGGCAACTCGGCAGTCGTTGCGCAGGCACTTTGGTGACTCTAGTTAACCTCGGGCTGATCGCAAGTCCCCATGACGGCGACGATGCATTCGGATGTCTGCCCTATCAACTTTCGATGTTACTTTCTACGCCCACTATTGTGACCACGGGTAATGGGGAATCAGGGTTCAATTCCGGAGAGGGAGCCTGAGAAACGGCTACCACATCCAAGGAAGGCAACAGGCGCGCAAATTACCCATTCTCGACGCGGGGGAGGTAGTGATGAAAAATAACAATACAGGACTCTTTTGAGGCCCTGTAATTGGAATGACTACACTTTAAATGCTTTAACTATTGGAGGGCAAGTCTGGTGCAGAGCGACTGACCCGTGTGTGCTGCAGCTGAAACTCCACTATCACCTGCTACTGCTCGCACAGTCTCTCCAGCATGTGCAAGGTGGAGTTCCACCTCGTGGGCATGTCGCATATGAGGCAGTGAGCGGGAAGGACGAAGTTACGCTGCAGTGCAGACAGGCGAGCAGCAGCAGGGTGAGAATGCCAAAAGCATGCACAGCCGCTACAGTGAAACTACGAATGGCTCATTAAATCAATTATGGTTCCTTTGATCGCTCCATCTGTTACTTGGATAACTGTGGTAATTCTAGACCTAATACACGCCGACGAGCGCTAGGGGACTGCTGCTCCGCTTTTGCACCCATTTGCAAAAAAAAATTTCTTGCCCATCTTCTGTGGGTTATTGCATTTTTAAGATGTAGACTTATTGTATCACACTAGCCATGCACAGGTAGATTGTCTGGCATGTTGTTTTGGTGTTTGGTTTTTAACTTTGTAGTTGTGTCTTTATACAATATAAAAATGTATATCAATGCTTCTGTATATGAAGCAATCACAATAACACTTATCTTTCACTTTAAAAAAAAAAAAAAATCAGGCTAAACAAAAATTGGTAATTAACACTATGACATCTGAAAAGCACATGAAAGGATGCTGTATGATTTAAAAAAAAAAAAAAGAACACACTACATGAAGGTCCTGTTCACTAGAGTGTGTATTCATGAATGTAACCAGTAAAACTTTGTTTTTACAGCCACAGGTTGGCCCACACATATTTTAAAACTTATTTAATTTTGACTTGTAGTCTTGTTTTTAACTTGTCTATAATACATATTTTTGTATGACACTTAGTGTGTTTTTTCATTGATTATTGAATTTTAATGGTGTTAACATGTCAACAGGCAAACGTAACCCGAATGATTTGTCTCAGTCTTGCCTTCTATACTACCTGCACCATAGGCAACATTTATTTGTCTTTAGACTTTCTTGAGAAGCGGTAACTAACCAGTGTTGCACACAGACACAAGATATGAAGTTCACACCCCAAATGTACTATTTAGCACAAAAAAGTGTGATTTTTTAAACCTACAATGTAACAGTAGTATTGAAGGGTTTTATTAGACTGCAAGAAATGAGTACGCAAATGTATTATTTAGCACCCCAAAAATTGCAGTATTTAAATATGCCTAGATGTTGCCCACTGAGCTACCAGAAGAGGATTAAAGTAATGTGCCTGGCACACATACCATTGCAAGTGCACTGCACTCTCTGTGGCACTGGGCTCAGGGCAGGGTACAAAAATGTAATATAGCACCCACAAAAATAATCGCTGTAGTTTGCAGATTCAACACCAGAATTCTTTCCTAATCTGTCCCGCACAGCTGCAGCATCCTCTCCCTACACTAATAAGAGCTCATGTGACGTGCGGCGCTACTTGACTCCAGCTTATATATAGAGGCTGGGTCACATGCTGCACTGGCCAATCACAGCCATGCCATTAGTAGACATGGCTGTGATGGCTTCTAAGGGCACATGAGTCAAACGCTAGTTGATTGGCCGCCCTGTAGCCTTTCAAAACGAGTCATTAAATCGCCGAAAACCGGCGAACTCCAACCCGAACATACACTGAAATGTCCGTGTTCGGGTCCGGGGTCCAAAAACCGTAATGTTCGGTACGAACCCGAACTTTCCAGTTCGGGTTCGCTCATCTCTAGCAGGGAGCCATGATCATAATGTGAAAAAACTAGACGATAAAAAAATATATTTTTTCATTTCTCATTAGTAGTAATTTACTAAAGCAAAGAATATTTTCACGATCTTGATTTTGGACAGATAAGATGCGTATAAAGAGCTATATGCACTTTATGCATAGAAATAACACTCATTATTGATAATTTATTGTACATGCACCATCCATTTTATAATATTTCAATTGAAGCTTCTTTGTACCTGCTTTCTTTTTGATCTATTAGCTGAAAGCATGACATATGGTGAAACAAATAAACCCCATTCCTCACTAAAAAAAATGATCTATGCTGTATTGACACTCGTATTAAAACTAAATTGACATGTATGTACGTAGCGGGGAATTACGATGCCACATAAACATAGATAACCCCAATAAAAAAAAACCCAATAGTATGGATGAACAGGCCACAGCATTTATTATAACATAAATAAATTACTGCATAACACATCCATAACTTTATTTATTAAACTCTTCTTTCTGTTAGAAATAAATAATCATAAATTAACATATATACATATAATAACTAAAACGTGCTATGCATAAACCCAACCGTCCTTGCCAATAAACATCCAGTGGTTCCTAATCACCACTTCCTCTCACCTCCCCCCTCGTCATAAAAAATCCTTCCAATGCCCGCCATCAGCCGACCTTATCTACGCTCGATGGGCACGATACCTCAGGCAACCTAATGCTTAACCTTTGAAGCAGGGGAGGTTGAGACCTGCAAAACATAAAAACGTACTCCATCCTTAGACATAACCCCTCAAACTTAATTGGCAAGGACATACCCCCGGCTAGCTGTGACTAACTGAAACTACAAAGGGGTGGGTGGGCGGGAAGCTGTTTGCTGGCCCGTATCCCAAGTGGCACTGAGGTAAGACCTCCCCCACACTAACTTACATTAAACCTAACCCCTCCCACACACACTTCCCAAGTCACTCCCCTGCATCTATCCCCACACTCCTACATGTGCCCTTGTCCGCTTAGCTGCGCTATCTCCCCAGGGCCTGAGCTGGACTTGAGGAAAGCATTGGATTGACGGAGCTTGTCAAAGAGGCAGATCAGGGACAGAGCCAGCACAAGCCAAACACAGTACTGGCCAAGCAGCATCTTTTCATAGAGATGCATCAAATCACTGCATCTCCATGAGGAAAGTTCAGTGTCTCCATGCAGAGAGTGGGGACACTGAATATCAGTCACCGTGCAGCACTGCCTCAGGAAGCACCTCCTGCTGCCATCTGAGGAGTTGCCAGTGCATGTATCTCTAGGCTGTCATGTAAACACTGTCTTTTCTCTGAAACAAAAAGTGTTTATTGCAAAAAACCTGACGGGTATGATTCCACTCACCAGAACAAATACAACTAGCTGTAGTTGTTCTGTTGACTATAGTATCCCTTTTAAGTCAAATGCCTAAAATATAGAGGATCTCCAAGGTGACTTATGTACTAATAGCTTTAGTAGGTGGGTAAGGAAATTAGAATACATGCAGATAAATTAATATTTATTTAGCAAATGCTACAAAAACTATGAGAAGGCATTAGGTTGAATTTTGCTGTGATTTTGTATTTCCAAATCTTTTCCAATTCTGAAATTTAAAACCCCTAGAAAATACTAGAAATAGTAAAATACAGGCATACCCCGCTTTACATACACTCACTTTAAGAACACTCGCGAGTACAGACATTCCCGCACCTCTTCTGTCCGTGAGTGAACAGTAAATGGAAGGTTCTATTCTGGCCCGGAGCAGCTCAGTTCAGTGTCTTTGGGGCAAGAACTTTTCACACCTTCTGAAATGGCACAGGTTAATCATCTCAAATTTATAATGCCTACTCCTAGCTGAACATATATTTTTTTTTTCTGCCGGTACATTGTCCATATTATGACTTTGTAGCATTAGCCATAATTATGAGTATTCAAAGTTGCTAACAAATACAAATTGGAACTGTATTGAAAGAAAATGGCCCAGTGGACAGGTTTATTTTACTTTTCCTCCCAGTTTAAGGTTATCAGATGAGTAAAACATTAAAGATAAATGGCACAATCTGGATTTAGATGTTTGTTTTAACTGAATAAAAGCCCACTGGAAATCACTAAATAAATCACTGGAAATAAAATCACTGGCAATCTGCAGTTGCAGTATCAGTTATGCCTGTAAGTTACTATCGCAATGCAGTACATGCATTGGGAAGTGAAAAAAGGTATTGCTTCACTTTAAGTACATTTTCGTTTTACATACATGCTCTGTGTTGCGGAACCAGCCTCGCCACTGGGCATTGGAGAAGACTGATTGCCAGCCTCCTGCCCTGTGACTATGGTCCCCATGTGTAAATGCTGGATTTTCCCCTGCAAAGAATCCAAAGCCGGGTCTTTCGGTACTTTCCCTATGTGAGCAGTGTTACCCCAGATAGCTATGCCATGGAGCCCATTCGTATAACGAAAGACTATGTGAAAGACTTTGGCTCCATGGCAATTGAACTGTATGTATGTGATCTGAGCGCCATTCAGTAATAATTTGCGCTCTGATCTAAGCTATCTGGGGATATGTTGAATGTACCCGTTTTATGCAATCGCTGCACAGTTATATATTTTCATGTATTTTATTGTATTTTGCTACCATGTGGCTAATGGAGTTTTGCCTCTGTCCTTGGAGATAATTGGATTACTTCCCAATTATCTCCAGGATAGAAGACTCTGTGGAACTGGTTTTGGGCAGAAAAACCATGCTTCATTTTGTCAAATGGGACTTTCCCTTAACTTTTTAACCCCTGAACCGATTGCCCTGATTTTTGAGTATGTGTATATTTCAAGCATGCGGATTCTGAAAATGTATGTTTTATGTGAATGGCATGTATATTTTGGAAGTTATTAATATTTTGTAAAAACTGTATTTCTCTGCCTGTGATAATTATATTACCCATTGTGTTCAGTAATGATATCACAGGCAGAGAGCAGGATTTTGTGTGGGAGTGTCTGTGTGTATTGTATGGATTGATTGGTTGTATTTCAAAACAATGTGGGCAGTACTATGTTTGTGGATTGTGAATAAAAGAGGCTGTATGTGCCAGTACAGGCAGTTCTGCTTGACCTCAAAACGAAGTGTCGTCTCGTTATTGGTGGAATTGAATTGTATGCTGATTGCCAGGAGTGTAAGCTGATTGTATGCTTTTCATGTTCAGCTGCTTACAGCATTCATATGCTTGAGAGCATTCGTATGCTTCTCCGGTTCGGTGGTTGTGGTGTCTGCTGCAGTGCTTGGAGTCCTCAGGAATCTCTAGGAGCATCCTTCAACGGAGGTACCCAGTCGGGGTACCAGGTGATCCGTTACACTCTGGTCCCATTGTGTACTTAAAAGTGGGGTATGCCTGTACACAGTTTTTTAGTGGATGATTTTAATAATTTATGTATACATAACTTTTAAATTTTGATAGTCTGACTTACCCAAAACAAATAATCCCATCAAACCTCTTGTCTGTATGTGTATAATCCAATGCTGCTGAATGTACAGTAAAAATCCCTCCAATAATGATGTCTCCTTCCTGATAATATTCATAGTCCTCAAAAGAAGGTATTATTTGGAGATTACACATTGTAGCTGAGTTTTGGGTTGAACGTTTGAGGAGCATAGTTTGCAAGACGAGCACAAAAAACAGAACTTGCAAGATGGCAGATATAAATGGTGACATTGCTCTGTCAGATTGAATATTAAAGCATTTTAAAATCCAAAGTGTCTGTA